GTAGCCGCGGAGTGTCTCGGCGCGGTGTTTTGTCGTGCGTACCCCGGGACTGGACTTTCCTGCGGGATAAACTTGCGGAGCGGTCCGTAGGGCGAGGCCCGGCGTGCGACTTGGAGACACTTCCCAAGTTGGAGGAAACGGGAAGGACGTTTGTCCCACCGAAAAGCGTGCGCAGGGGCACTCACGGGAGGGGCTGACGGTGACATTCACATCCTCGCCAGCCTGCGCAGGGGTCCCCGGGGCTGCCCCGTCCTAGGAGGCCTGGGTCGGTGGTGTGCAGCAGCTGCCCAGTCCTAAGCATCTCCTGGAAAAGCCCCGTGTAGCACACCATGAAGTAAGCAGGCACTGATGGCTGCAGGCAGGAGAACCTATTCTGACTTCACCTCATGGTAAGATTCCAAAAGATTAATTTCCACAGAGTTGCATAACAAGATAGCAAACCCACCATGGCTGTCTCATGGTAGTAAGTCATTTACTTTTGTAATTGTGAAGATAAAACCTAAATTTCCTGAGTCCCACACAGATATTTGTGATACATCAATCACAGCAGTTGGCTTTTGCAAGACAGTTCCAGGGGGGAAGGAAGGGAAATCCTGTGACACTCATTTTGTTTTCTTTGTAGATACCACTGAAGTACCTGCTTTCCAACGCTTTCCTCATTTAACTTCACCTTGAGTTCAGCTGGTCGGCAGCATGACTTCTACCAAGAACACCTCAAAACTTTCCCTGATCCTTGTTTCATTGCTGCTGGTGCTGCCAGTAGTTGAAGCCCTGGACGCAGGAGATACCATCGCCTTCCTCCTAGGCCTCACTGTCAGTGTTGTTGGATTCTGTGCCTGCCTTGGCTTGTATGCAAGGAAAAGAAATGGACAGCAATGATTTCAAGAAGATGTTCAGATGAAGTGAATTTCCAAACACAGCTTGGGGTTGAGATCTGGGGTGAAAAACAGCTTCAATTCTGGTTAACTTTTTAAAAAAACCATGTAGCAGATATTTCTGCAAACCCCTCTTACTGTGCAATACAACAGAACCAAGACTGTAACCAGTAAAAGGGATTTGTAGGATCTGCCCTTATGACAGTAAGATGATTTTATATCACTTGTGATTAAATATTGCCTTAGAGAAGGGTAAGACCTTTTTGAATGGGGAAGGAAAATCATAGAGTGGTTCACAGTAAATGTTTATAAATGGAACATATGAAGGAGACCACCACCAAGTTCCACAATTTTGGTTTCAAGGGTTAATCAGGAGGAAGCACCTATTAATCTTCCAGTCAAGATGATAGAGCTTTTGAAGTACTTCTAACTAGCTAGCTAGAAAGCAGACCGCTTTGACCTGTGTGCACGTGCTCACGTTCTTATGTAATGACAGTTAACACCTAACACCTCACTTCTGCTGTCACAGGGATGAGACTTCAGAGAACTAAGAAAACATAGAAAACTTTTTTTCCTTACGTATTTTTATTTTAGAATGTGCTTCTCCCGTAGCCTGTGTTCTTACCAAGTAGATGTATCTACTTGTATCTATCTTAAGAATGGGAACACTATTTTTCTTCACAGAAAAGTACATGTAAGGCTGCGTAAATCAGATTAAGGCTATGGGTTTTGTCTCTTGTTTATTTTTTGTACATGGTTTTCCTTTAGGCACATCAGGTTTAAGACTTATTTTATTTGGTCTTTGTATTTTTTTCCCCAAAACTTTATGTCTTATTACGAGAAATTACATGTACTATTTCTGCATTAGGGGGTTATTAGAATTTTAACAAGACAGTTGTGCACATTTCTTTTGCAATATAGAAATAACATGTTTTGTTAAAATCCTGGTTTTAGTCAACAGGTCCATTGTTCTCAAGTGTCTTCCTCATGACAAACTTAACATTGCTAGCTAAACTTGTAGGCTTCTTACCTAACTGATGATTATGAGTTCCACAGAAGATTAGGACCAAAACCAAAGTAAAAGATCCTGATGCAAAAGGGGAGATGTAAATGGTCTTATTCTGTTCATGCTCAGTCAGATTGTATGGTATATGGTTGAAAGACTTGACTCAGTAGCATATCCAGGACCTATTTCTTAATTTTAAGTACCAAAGTTGAAATGGCACAGTCAAGAATGTCTACCACAAGTCCCTCTGGCTTGTTAGGGTGTTCTAGCTGTCTGCTTGAGACAAGGAGCACCATTCGTAACAGCAGCAGAATAGGAGCATAGGAAGGTGAGCTCTCTACAGTTCACAGAATCTCCTTCTGATCTTGTGCTGTGGACACTGACGCTCTTGCTAGAAATCTTGGCTTTTATCTTTCAGAGCTGGGGAAAAAGGATAAATGGGATGCACAGCTATATATTTTGATACTATTCCTCGCCTTCCTCTATAAATGTCTCTGTTCAGTAGAGCACAAAGCAATGGCTGGAAGAGTTGTCAGGCAGGTCTTATGTAAGTAATTGGGTGGGCAAATCATGTTCTCCAAATTCTAAGATTTCTGTATTCTGTATGCTATTTGTGTCTGGTTTGACTTCTGTTTCCAGCCTCTGAGGAGACAGAAGCCCTGATTATTTCAGACTTGCAATTTATGTCCCTCTCTCATGGTTGTTAGAGGGAGGATGGTAAAACAAAAGCTTCCAAAATTGTGTGGGGTTAAAAACGTAGGACTCAACCCAGCAAGCCACAAGAATGTAGGTTTCTGCTCTCAAGTTACAGGAATAATAATGGTCACAATGATACTCTGATGAGACCTAAGTCTTGCCAGGTAGCTGCTCTTGAATTCTTTCTGTGGCTTCCAAAAGTCAGAAAGAGACATGGTGCACAATTACTACATACAAATGAAATTTACAGCCTTAAGAGGAGCTCCAGACAGTAGTGTCACCTTTGAAGGCTGCCCAGCAGCAGTAGATGATCCTGTATGTGATTATTCAATTGGCTGGATGGAAGCACACATCAAGTGTGATCTTCCATGTTCCAGTTTGGCTAAACCATTACCCCTTCAAAAAAACAACCAAACAAAAAACTCGGTTGACTTTGTATTTGCCAAAACTCAGGTTGTTTGTTAAATTCTCGATAGAATATCAAATATGGCTCTTTCAATAGACTAAGTCTTATCACAAGCAGCTTTTCACAGCCTCCTTGATCATCACTTTGGAAAAGAGACTTTCACAGAATTGTGCAACAGTTTCACTGCAGGAGAACAAAATTTTAGCAGAGTAATTAGCATCAGGTGATAGGGATATGAGGAACTGTGTCCTTTCCCTGAAGCTGTATTTACTTCATTGAAAGGTGTCTGCACAGCATAATGGCATTATTTCCTGGGTTCCAACAGAAGCTTTATTGTTGAAGACTCACATTTGTCCATGACTTGAGTGTAAAATTACCCTGTTTTTCTTCTGTCTTAATAAACTTTCACATGATTTGTCATCAGTTTGATGAAGTAGTTCTTATGAAAGGGAAAACAGGGATGACAGAAATTACTGAAACTACTGAAATTCCTCACATTAAATATTATTTTCTTATATTTTTGTTTATTTTAAGTGACTTTACAAACTAATGTGGCATAAGGTATGTTTTCAGTTGAATTTTTGTACAGTGAGTGTACTTCTCTTGGTTCTATTCCCTCGTTTCAATATCAGTTACTTTAGAGCACTTCAAGGGGGATTGTCCTCTTACTTTGAAATGGGTAGCTTGCAGTTGTGAAGAAGCCCATTTCTCTGATACAAAGGAAACTTGAGGCATTTATTTTTCCTTTTGACATGAATTTTCAATATTACTATTATGTAGTTGCTTTTATACCAGAAAAAACATTCATGGCAGTTTTCTATCTAGAGACCCAAAGATACAAAGGACCATTTTCTTTTCTTCTAAAGAATTAAGTTCTAGTGCTTTACAGTTATTTGAATGATACTTTTTTTTTATACTTCAAAAAAGCTTGTTTTATCCCAGCATTTTATGAAAACAGGGTTCTAGATCATTTGTGACTTCAGATAGTGCACAGAGCACTAAACTAATACCGTTAGCGGCTGTCTTCAGGGCAGAAAGCAAAACCAGCCTGACAATGCCCACCTCCTAACAAACACAACCTACCCTCTAATTAGTGCAAGAAGGCTGCAAGTCAGGAGCTTTTGAGAGCTATGACTTCCATCTGCTATAACAAGAGCGTACCTCAAAAGCAGCCATCCTATGAATGTTTAACAGTCAGCATATGGTCCCTTTGTGAATGGACAGAAGTCCTTCGCTCCTCATGGCATACCTTCAAGTGCTGCACACAAGCTTGGCATCACCATTCTCCTGGGTACAGCAGTACCTGGGACTGGAATTACAAACATTTCACCCATTTACTAATGCACTTGCTGATAAATCACTGCCATGAATCCTTTCTCCCACTCAGATAAATACCGCTGGTGATGCTGCTTTAACAGGAGGCTTGGCAATTCTATGGCACCTTCCATTTGAGAACCCTTATATGCTTACAGGTATTTATGTTTGCATGCCTATCACATCCTTTGATGAGTGGGACAAGTGGAAGGAGAGTCAGTGACTTGCAGTGGTGTCCTAGGTAAGTAGGTGATATCTCCAGGATGGTCGCTGAGATTTCTGGAGCATATTGTGCTTGTGGTTCTCAGCCACCATGCCCCTGCCATGGGACCTGTCCTTGGACTAGCCCAGAGACTCCATGTGCTGACTAGACACAGTCTGAAGCCCAGGTTCCTCTTTGCACAAAGCTGTTTACGTAAGCTTTGTGAAAAGGGAGTAGGGAGTTGAGTTCACCATTTGTAATAAGATAAAACATGACTAAATGGATGAACTGTAATAGGTCTGTTACCATGGTAAATGCTTTAATTATTATACTACAAAAGTAACCTTTCCGTTCATGTTTACATCTTACGAAAGGTTTGGCAAATCGAAACTGATGTAATGACAAGAGATTGTTAGGAGAGGTGGAAAGGAGGGCTTGGATCTGGTTGTTCTCAGAGTTTACACTTGAGGAAATTGTTAGTAAATGATCTGAAGTCAACAGAAAGTGCAGGTTGATTAGAAAAAATAAGACCAACAATTCATAACCAAATGCAGCAAAACATATTGGGTATGATTTGATGTAACTAAAGATGCACAGGACTCAAAACGCTTAATTCTGCTGAAATCAATCTTCAAAACTTTTAAGGGACAAGTTTTTAATACATTAGATATTGATCACACTGCTAAGTGTTGTTAAAGGCATGTAACCAATTTTGAAATTATGAAGATTTTCAGTTCACATGACTATGCAGTAGCACCAAAATGCTACTTTCTCCAAGATTCAGAAAGCAAGCCTTCCAGCAATCAAGCTGGAATTTATGTACCAAACTGCGGTATGGTAAATACTGTAAAAGCACATCTACTTTGAACTAAAAATAAAAGAGCAATAAAATTATATAGATATTAAAAACATTTCCAGATGTTGTACTGATCTCCTCAGCTCAGCTTGTCTGTAATGAAATTTGAAAATCCATGAGAGGCTCTGTCACAGTAAGGTGCAGGCACACTAGGCAGTCAGCATAACCTTTTGTTTCTGAATCTTTTATCTGATCAGATCAGAACAGAGATTTTAATGAGAAAAAAAAGACAAAATGGCCCTTTAGAGCGCTAAGCAGAGAGACCCAATAAGCTCTCAGTGTAAGTGACGGCCTGAAAGCAGAGAGGCACCAGCAGACCTAGGAGTTGCAACCATTACACAGGGCAGAGAGAGTTGTGTCCCCAGACACATGAGCTTGCTGCTGGGTTGGGTTAAAGTTTGTGTTCTGCTTGAGCATTACTGCATTGGCTATATTCCCCCTCACTAGTCTTTGCCTTGGAATTCTGAACTGGAACCAACATAATAAGCAGCTTTCCCAGCTGCCATTCATTCAAGGCACTAAAA